TATGGAGAAGAGTGTCAGAAAAAGCAGTGCTCTTAGAGGCAGGAGGTGGTCACAGAGCCTGGCTGCCCTTTGGACATCTGTGCTGGGGAAGCACCTGTAATGTGGGACTGGTGCAAAGTCTATCTCTATATTAAGGTGTCCATATGGTCCCCATTACTGTGGTAACAGGCCACCTCCTGCTTTCAATGCATTTGTCCTCCCAACATCTCTGTAAGATGGAACTGTGCTACTTTCCCCATTTTACAGATGGGGAGTTGAAGCACAGGGAGATTTTGGACTCAGACACGCAGCTCACTGTGCTTAACATGCTGACCATGTGCCAGCTGAGCCAGAGTCACCATCACCAGCAGAAGCTGCATCCCTGCCTTGCAGGAAATGCAAAGTGCCTTAGATTGAAGAGGAGGAGGGTTACAATAAACATGTTACCTTACACCACCCTCTTCATGGCAATCCAGGTTACTCCACATTATCTCCCATTTATGACCATCACCTCCCATTTCTGACAGATCAGGAGCAAACCCACAACTATTGCTGCTCAACTGACATGTGGCTACTTGCCTTGTCACCCCAATTCCACATTCACCTGTGGTCTGTGGCAAGGCAGGAAATCAAACCACATCTCAAGAGGGGAATCCCATCCACCAAGATTTCTTTAGCCAAATTCTTCTTCCTACCTTGTCAACAGTTGCACGTTTCCTGACAGACTTTTCCTATCATAGGCTGCAATTTCCCCTCAAACCTTCTCAACCAGGAACTGACAGCACAGTGATTGCAATGGATTTGCTTTCTCTTTGTCTAAAACTGAGCATTTACCTTCTTTCCAAACCCATTACATTGGAATTTCAAAGACAAGATACGTACCTGATGTGTCTCAGTTAGAGGCACCACGTTCATCAAGGACAACAGAGTTTAGCTATTTATTTTTCAGAATTTACCAAACACTTTTTATCTTCAAAACAATCTACACCACTGAATGATTTAAGCTCTACTCTCCTCCCTAGCTCTGACACTCAAGTTATTACCTCTGTACACAAGGAAACCAAGTTACAGTTCCACTTATGCACTGCAAAGAGGCATATTGACCTTGATGAAATCACTGAAAGGTTGTACACACAAAGCAGGACCAGAAGGCAGCAAGCAGAGTTTTACAGGTGCCATAATATATAATTTGGCAATGCTAAATCAAACACTTATATACATGTCACTCCTAGTTTGAACTGTGGACAGAAAAAATGGAAAATTCAGCCCCCCACACTCTGAAAAAATTGCAATTGGTTTCCTTTAAGAATAACGTGCAGCAAGACCAGGAGTCATTTCAAAGCTGGAGAGGGTTTCTCAGCTCTAATTACTCCCGATCGCTGTAATTTACAGGTTTGCAGTGGGTAGAAATCGCCAAGATTCACACGTTTTCAGATCAACAGCTGCCACTATTAGAGAGCAAATCGTGCAGCCTTCTGCACCACTGCAGCAGCCTGAGGCCCCAGCAGATCAGGAGCGGGAGGCGAAGGTGCCACCACAACCCAAGGGTGCCAGGTAAACTTCAGCTGAGGACAAGAATTTCACCCTCAGCACCCTCGGAAGGAGCTTGAAGGGCACAAGGCTAGGACACCAACAGAGTATGTGCTTTTCCTTCTCTGGTTGGGCTTCCCTTTCCACCTCTGCAGGTGGCTGTTTTTAACCTTGGGGTAGTTATTAAGATGGGAAATACCACATTCCATCCAATTTTCCTGGCAGTTCTGGGGCACACTGCAAATCAGGATTGCATTCTACTGGCTGCATGTAGTGGGCAGGGTTCCAGCTTCAAAGGAATAGATTTTTCCAGACCATTCTTACGACCATGCAAAATTCTTGATGGTCTCTAATATAAGACATAGATTCTTCCTGTATATGGTAACTCAGCCAAAGATCATATTAACAGTTTGCAAAGAAGGCCCCAGTCCTTACTGAACATGTGAGATGCAGAAAAAGGAGATGACTTTCCTCAAGGTCAGACAGTGAGCTGGAATTAGAGCTCAGTGCCAATTCCTCTGGTTTCCCTTAGGGATCAGACAGGCCCATTAGTGTGGAGCTGCAAAGGGACTCCGAGTTACTCACAGTGCAAAGTAAGATGCCAGTCTTGGATTTTAGGAACTCCTGGAAGACCTCTGTCCTTTCCTAGAAGATTGAAAAGGAAGAATTAAAAGACTGCTTATGCATATTACAATCCAACACAAAGCAAATTAGATAACGTTAACAATTTAACTGTGTCTTGTTCACTTAGATCACGTAGAGATTCAAAAGCAAAGGAACTGGCCTCATGACTGCCAGTCAGACTTCCTGCAAATGGAAAAATCTGGCACACAGGTGTGGTCCCAGGTAGGAAGGCAGTGTCTGGGGAAGTCTGGATGCATTTGGGCAAGTCAGAGCAGCCAACATCTCCATGGTTTGCACTGAAGCACAGCCTCTGTGTGCCAGAAAACAGGAACAGTTTTACATGGAGAGGGGATGCACAAAGGATTAGGCAGCACCAACAGAAGCACCAGCACATTTTATGGGCAAGACAGGCTTTTGTGGAAACAAGCAAAGCTGGAGATGTTCACTGCTGTCTGTCCAGTCACACGATGGGCAGGATAAGCCCATTTTGTTGACACAGTGATATAATCACATCACAAGAGATCAGCCACATCATGTGCCCAATGGGGCATGCACACAGCCACTGCTCTGACTCTGGAATTACTGAGTGTCAGGGATGCTCAGCTGCACAGTGAACTGCTGAGCAGTTCATATGGGACAAGGCTTCAAAGTAACAGGGCAGGAGAGATGGCCAGAAGTCCACTTATAATAAAAATAAAAATTATAATTAAAAAAAACAACCTCCCATGTCTTTCCCTTGTATTGGCAAAGGCCACCAATGGGGCTGATAACCTGGGGACTGAGGCTGCTCCCTCTACCAGGGTCAGAGGCAGGTGCTCCCCAGCCTTGTCCCCATCTCTGCTCTGCACCACCACAACTCCTGCAGCCCTCACTCCTCACATGAGCTCAGGCCCACATGCAGGGCCATCCACAGCCCCTAGATCCCAAATTACATCCCCAGAAGTCTTTGAGCCACTGGAGGGAACTGCAGGAACCCAGTACAGTCCCTCAGCTCCCTTCAAAAGCCTCCTGCTTTGTGAGTCCCCAAACCTTACCATGGACATTCCAGTTATTTTAACTAACAGCTTTGGGCTGTGTATTTTTCTTGATGAAAGCCACAAAAACTGACTCCACAACCCACATTACATCACAACAATATTTGCTACATCTAAGCACCAATAACCAAAGTTCTCAGCAGAACCTGGTCTTCACTTGCCAATACCACCTCTGCACCTACACTCCCTTTTCTGCTCACATTCCAAAATATCCTTGTTTCTATGTTTCAAGCCCTCCCCTGGAGCTCTGGCTAGGAGCTAAGTGACTGTCCTATTATGTCGATGATAGAGAAGAAACCTTACACACTTGACTCCCAGCTAGAGGTGTTGTTCTAGAAAAGAAGGGAAACTTGGGCCTTGCTGAACACTGAACCCTCTGCTGACAAAAATTAAAGAAGAGAGTACGCTGTATCTTGTTGACAATGACAGCAGCCGTGCTCAGCAGTACCATATGGGATCCACAATTTAGCTCCATTAATGCTCTTAATTTGAAGACATCAAGCACTAATTACACACTGGGTACTAAAAAGGCAAAACCCTTCCCCTGGTGCCAGCTACTTAGTGGTGTTCTGTTGGTTTAACAGCTGGTCAGGGTAGAGTTGGGCCAGACCAGGCCTGCTCACTTGCTCAGGCAGGCAGGTTGAGGAAAGGCCAGACTGCGGGGACAGCAAAGCACATGTTTCTGGTCTCCACAGGATGGGAATGAGTGAGAAAAACAATGGCTCTTCACCTCTTGCTTCATCAGAAGAGCTCTATTCATTTACCATCTCTGCTGTGCAGCTCAGAGTAGAGCAGCAGCTCTCTCCATCACAGACCAAGGGCAGGATCTGGGCCTGAACTTCCAAGGGAGGTCTCTCAGCTATTGAGAGAAACTCTGCAGTGACAGTTCATCTGACATTCTCCTCCTGGCCTCTCGGCCCTCTGCAGCAAGGTCCAACCTCTCCACTCCTATCTGCCTAAAACCTAAACCTATTTTGGGGTTACTGTTACACTATCACTGTTACAGTGCTATTATTCCATCCCAGGGAAAACAGCAGTCTGTCAAGACACTGGTCTTCAAAACCAAAGCCAAAGTGCTCCAGCCTTCTTTAATGGGGGAAACTTACTAGGTAATAATGTTTTGGGGCTTGGATAAGGTTTTCCTTTGGCATTAAAAGTCCGTCATGACTGCATGAGAGAGAAGCACAGAGACATAAATGGTTTAGTGCACCCACTGGGAATAGAGAATGGATGCTCTGCCTGCTGAAATAACACATTTGCCTCTTCAGGTGTGCTTTTCAGATACAGCTACCAAGGTACTTTCCAGAAATGGGACAATATCCTTATTCTCATTAACAGATGGAAGACTGAGGCCCCTAGAGGTGAAATGACTCTCTGTCCTCTCCTCTGCCCTCCTCCCCAAAATAGCCACATAATAAATCATAGGGAACAAGGAATAAAACTGCAGATCCTGACATTTTGAGAGTTCTTACTTCCTGTTCCATGTCGCCGTGCAGACGTAGAAACTGTAAGCTCACAGAGGAGGGGGATGAACATCCAGGTTGTTCTGACTCTGAGCCTCCTGAAAGGACCTGTACAAGGAGCTCGTGGTAGAATTCCACTTGTTCACAGCTGGAGAAGAAGATGATCATCTTGTGGCGCTTTTCAAACTGCAAGAAGAATAAAAGAATTGCACATAACCATTTCCAAAGGCCTCTCCCAATTCCTGATCATGGAAAGATCCAGGTGGTTTACACTTCTAGAGATATAATTATCTGAGAAAGGATTAGAGTCTGACACCAAAGAGTGAGCCCAAAACAGAAGAATGAGTACACGCTGCACAGGGATCTCTCTGTCAGCATGAAAGACACAACAGCACCTCAGCTCTCTTGTGGTTCAAGATGCACTTCAAAGCCCTGGACCTAATCCATGCTATCCTTGACAGAGGGACAGATAAAGGAGTTGGAAAGGGCAAAGGGCTACTTAGTAATATAAATGCAAACAAAGTCTCACCTTGCATTTCTGCAGGATAAAAGCTGCTAATGTGACAAGCCTCAGTTTGCTGGGGACCATAATGACATACTGCTGCAGCGTCTCTGGAACAGCAAAGTTTTCCTGCTCCATGCAGTTCGATGAACTGCTGGCTTCCCTATCTGTTTGTGATGCTGCTTCAGGCACCTTCTGGATTTCATCTGCTACAGAAATGCTGACAGGGTCACTCAAGCTGATATCAGCCAGGCGTGTCACTCCTAAACCACAGAAAATTAGAGATATGTGAGGCCCAGTCTGGGCTGGGATGATACAACTGATGCAATTCCAGTGAAAATGAGTGGAGGGCAAGAACCCAGTGAGCCACCCTCAGATCCTGACAGAATCCCCTCACAAACCTTGGACTTTTTAGGGCTTACCAGGCTTAGCTGCTGTGGACTCCACCAGAACCTTGACAAGACACTACTTCAGCTGACTGTGCTATTTTACAGTACATATATATCTTTATGGACAAACAGCATTTGGTAGGCCTACTTTTAAATGTGTGTGGAAAAATCCCAGCAGATCTTGACTCTGTCAAGAGTGCAGGAGTCAGGAGGCCTGGTTCAGTTCCTGCCTCAGCAGCTGACTGCCTGTATGGTACAGAGGAAAGCACACAACAGCTCTCTTGCCATTAGCTTTTTGCCTTAATTCTGCATTTGTAAAACGAACAAAAGAACTTTCAGGTTCACAGTGACTTTGCTATGGAATTTGTGAGACATATGTGGCTACCATGGAAGTACATACACTGACAGAAATTCCAGTAATGAAGGAAGTGCAATAAGCCAAAGAAATTAATAGGAAATTATTTCCACTCCTACAAAAGGGCTTCAGGCTGGGCTGTAATAGAGGCAGACTCAACCAACTATTCTAGAGTTGCCTGTGCATTATGCAGCTACAAGAGCCCCCATCTGTCCATAACCCACCTTCGGTGAGAGTGGCTGAGAGCAGCACATTCTGACGTGTCTCTCTCTCAGCATTTAAAGCATTGAGTATCACAGCCACATCCTTCTCAAAGCCCAGGTCCAGGATCCTACAGGAACAGCAGAGATGGTTAGAGGTGCTGTAGGAAGGAGAAAGTCTTAATGCTGCATGACATCTTTGCAATGAATACTTGTCCAACAATCTGTCCAAAGTGGGTATTTTGTCCTAATCCCAGACATCTGGTGCTTGGCTGAGGCCACTGAGCATGAATGGATTAAGATCACTCTCTCTCTCATACTTTTTTTTTAATATTTAGTGAATTATGATGCAGAGGGTATTGAAATAATTTTCTGTATCTGAACACTTGGAAGTTTACCTGTCTGCTTCATCAATAATCAGCCACTGAGTGTGACGGAAATTAATACATTCTGTGGACTTGATGTGATCAACCAGGCGGCCAGGGGTGGAAATGAGGATATTTATCCCTTTCCGTAATCTGTGCAGATTTAAAAACAAAAAATAAAACCCAGGTAAGAGAAAGAAAGAAAAAACAACCTCATGCAGGTTAGCATGGAATAGGACCCAGATTAAAACTGGAACCTATAGAGGGAAAAAGTGCCACAGTAAAATCAGGGACAGCACCTTTTCACTGATAAAAACTGATTTTTTTGCCCAGCTAATATTAATTCTTGATCATCACTGATAGTCAGATACTCAGAGGCACACTCAGTGCTAAGGACAAGGTGGAAAGAAATGTTAGTAATTAAAAAAAAAATAAAATCTAACACACCCCAGCTAGGTTCTCTTTTCTAATTGAGTACTTATTTTACTGTCAAGAGTAAACTTGCTTTTGTGTATGCTTATATAGAGAGAAATGAAAATTCCATTTTGGATTACCAGCTTACAATTCAATTCTTGAAAAGGGGAAAGAAAGAGATTTTTAACACCAGGAAATCTCTTCTCCAGAAAGCAATTTCCCCCATAACAAATATAGTTGGTGGTAAGGAAATACAGGTGTTTGTCAGGAGAGGGGAAAAAAAATACTGACACAAGAGATCATCTTCTCAGAAGGCTCATCAACATTTTAGAAACAGATTCTACTGGGGGAAGTGAATGTTTCCTGCTGACCCAGCCACTGTGCCTATGTAAGATCCAGGGGATCACAGCTTGCTCCAAGCTCACCATCCTCCCTCCCAGTAAGAAAAACGCTCTGAAGAGTAGCAGATAAAGTCTGCAGAGCACAAGGACCCAAAATAAAATTTAAGGAGTTGGTTTCCTACCTGGCTTTTTCTGATTTTCTCTTTTCTCCCCCCATTAGAACTCCAGGCACAATCCAGATAAACGGCTACAGAAAAGAAAACCAAGACCAACGATGATTCTTCTTAATAACAAGACAAAGCCTAATCAAAAAATTATGTTTCTTGGCAAAAAGAGGGAGGATGGGCTGACAGCAGTGTGCATGTGATGTGATCACAGCTCCAACACTAAAAAAAGACTTGTAAGTCTCTTTTAAAGACTTATAAATTTAAAGACTTATAAATAATGAGGAAGTACCCTATTATTCCAAGGAAAATGACGAGGAGGTGGAAATATGGATAAGATAAATAAATTATTTAAACACCTTCCAGCCCAATGGTAAGATACTCAGCCTCAATTACAAGGAAAGCACTATCATTTAATGATTTTAAAAGCCTTCTCATTTCTCCAGTCATTCAGCTGGCAAAGTAGTTCCCAAGTCCTACTCCCCATCTGAAACCCATCTGTCCAGTATTAGTTTCAGTAAAACGGTCCTTGTCACCACGAGAGTTTCCATTCATAACTCAGCCTAAGACAATGAAATGTATTTCTACAAACAAATGGCTGTGAAAATCAACTATGTTTATCAGCACATGTGCAACTAGGCCACCATAATTAATCACTTAATTGCTCATGTAGTAATTTCAAACATGCCAGAGGGAAATCACACACTTAAACACATTTATCTTTAAGGACCATACATCTTGCCAGGTGCTGGATTTCCTTAAACCTCCAGCTGAATTTACAGGAATTGAAGTTGTTTAGCATCTTACAGGAATAAGAACACAGAGCATTGAACTCTTACCTTAAGTAGCTTCTGGATTGTATCAAAACTTTGGAGCGCAAGCTACGGAAATCAACAAAAGAACAGAAGAAAATGAGCTCTGACAAAGTCTCTCTGGACTGAAAAACTGGATTGCAAATCCCTATGCCTTAAAAATCTGTAAATTAATCTAGTTATGTATATCAGAATTCTAAATGCATCCTTAGTTCTTCTTTCAGAAGCTGCTTACTAATTTTTTTTTCATGAAGCATCTCTCTTTTATTGTATTTTGACCTGTTCAAAGATCTCTCTACTGGCTCAGCTCCACGAGCCAGCTCTCAGGACAAGCAAGACTTCTGGCTTCTGTGAATGCTCTGGGGAGAAAACAAGCTACAGGCACAGGAGATTTTGCTCCAGAGGAAGAATAAAAGGAAAAATTATGGAAATTCTGGGAAAAAAACACCATGAAAAGGAAACATATAGGTCAATTCTCTTCTGGCAACCCTCACTGTTCCTCACCTGACCCATGGAGTAATTGTGCCATTGGATCTTTCCATCTCTGCATTTCTTTTCTCAAGGAAGGTTATTGCTTCCATTACAAAGTAATACCAATTGTAATCACAAATTATCTTCCTAAGTACTCTCAATGGCAGCCCTTTAAACGAGCTCACACACAGTATCCTCCATGCTTAGTATTCACATGGCATCCTAAAGAGGCAGTAAGTTGTTGCTGTAAAAATTTAAATAGCTCCAGAGCCTTCTCCTTTCAGGTAACAGACATATTGCACTGCAGGCTGCACAAAATATTGGACCCCAAATGAGAGACCTGCAATCAATTCTCCACATAGAAGTTATTATCATTTGACATACCAAACAAAAATAAAAACAGGTTGATAACCTCTTCTGACACTGCCTTTGCAATTGCAAATAATATAAATTAAATAGAAGAGCTCAATGGAGAAACCAAGTCTTGGAGGCCTCAGCTTCAGCATTCACTTATGAATTTGAAAAAACAGCTTTAAAAATGAAACACTTGCATAAATCTACACATTTGCAAAGCTGAATTCATTGGTTTTACTCATTCCCCCTTTATGAGTGAGGCATGAGGCCTGCACTGAGCCAGAGAGGTTCTGCAGCCTCCGTGAACATTTCCAACTGCAGGAGGAGAACTGAGAAATTATTTTCTTGTTCTGGTTGGCATCGAACAAAAATAACACTTCCTGTGAGGGCAAGATCTGAGCAAAAGGACTAACAGTGTTTTCTAATGTGCAGAACTCTGGTGGACCCACATCCCCAAAAATCAGTGTTCAAACAGACTAAGAAAGGAAAAGCCACCTACCTCCCTGGTTGGGACAAGCACGAGGGCGTAGGGGCCATCACTGCGCTGCAAACACACAAGAGCAGGGCTCTGAAAGAAGGCAGCACTGAACAGAGCCCTTCCACACCTCCCTGCTCTCAGCCAGCAGAGAGGGCTCTGGAGGGCTTTACTGCAAGTTTGTAAATGACATTTTAGGATATTTCTGCCTCACAGCTTTCAAAAAAGAATCAAGTTTTTCACGTGTCAATCCTGCACTGCCTTCTCCTCCCTGCTGGGAAAGCTGCTCACAGTCAAACCCAACATTTTATTGCACACACCCGTTGTTTCACTCCTATGTTCCTGAGCTACAGGGATCTCTCCTGTTGGATGCACAATCTGCAGGTAGCAGCTGCAGGGACTGACAATCCAGGATAGGCTGGAAATGCTTCTCAACCCTTCTCTTTCCATAAAATTCACAAGATCTACAGCAGCATTTTCTGGTGTATGATCCAAATTGGGAGCAATTACGCAATCCCACTCCACGCCAAAGATTAAAAACTTACTCCCCTTAAAGACATAGCAGTAACCTTTGTTTTCAGTCCTCCACACCTGATAATTTAGCCCATTTCCAATTTATCCTGCTGCATGGAGCAATGGGGAATAGCTAACATCGATCTTGTACCATCTACATCTCAACAGAACTGGAAAATCCCATTTGTCATATGTACAAATAAAGAGGATCATGGACTGCTTGTATGAAAAAGAGACAATAATGACTACAGGAGCTGGATTTTATTTTTATTCAGTTTAGTATCAAAAGCAAATATATTTAGTGCTGCTGGACCTACCTGTATTTTGGATTCTAGTCCTTGCAAACACTGCACAAGTGGAATCCCATAGGCAAGAGTTTTACCTTTTTGAAAGGGAGAAAATAAGAAAAGTTTCCATTAAAAAAAAATACGTGGCAATTACAACACTCCAGCAAACCAAAGCTGGAGCAAACAATTTGTCCCACCATTCTTAAATTCCAGTCAGAGTCTGGAAAAGTTTCTTTTAAGTAGGAGGTTTCCAGAATGGAAGATTGACAGGCAATTTAATAAAGGATCAATTAGAAAAGAGAAGTGTTGGTCTCCCACTAAGATCTACCTAAATAAATGCAGTAAACATACCCTAAAGAAGGACAGTGACAGTTCAACACTGACCTGAACCAGTCTGAGATCTCACCAGGGCATCTCTGCCTTGCAGGAGCACAGGAATGGTTTGTTTCTGAACACTGGGTGACAAACAAAGCAGGGCAGGAAATGCAGATGCAACACAGGATAGAATTCCAAGATTTTAACACACAGTGACTGTCTCAAAAATCTTTAGCCCAAATTCCTCCCTCCTCATCTGTGCTGTGCAGCTGTATCAGTTGAGGTGATTTCTAAGCAAAGCCACTGGCTAGGCATCAGATGCAATAAATTCAAAGCAGATGGTCTGTGATTCAAGTACCAAACTAGAAGGCAGGACTCCCTACAAACCTAATAGCAAAAAGGACATTGGTACTGTGGTCTTCACAAGCCAATCATATAAAATGAAGTAATCACAGGCTTTTAGGGGTAAACAGCAAAGTTTTGATATTGATTCGCTTACCTGGTCATGCTACATATGTTTAGGACAGTATTTATTGTGGAGATCTAGAGAGACAATAAAGAAAAATGAAGGTTTTATTGTCAAACTGTTCTTTTTGTTATTCTTGTACTGCTAAGACAGAACAAAACGTAGAAGACTGAGATTTATTCTCTGCATAACTGTCCATAAAGTTCCCATGTCCTCAAAACACTTGTTAGTTAATCAGAATTACACCACTGCTGGTTTTCTGTGGGTTTTTGGTATTACAGCTGCAGACAGTGAAGAGGACTGGGATTGTGCCTGAGGACAGGTCAGGACATGGACCAGCACCTTGAGTGACAAAATCAGGTGAAGCATTCAGGTCACCATGAATAAAGGCTCTCTGACCTGCTCCCCAGCCAAAAATCCATGTTTTTGAGGCATGTAGCCTTCCTGCCACTCACCAGATGTGGGTGGAGGTCCAGCTGGCTGAAGGAATCTGTAGTGAAAACATTTTCTTGCACCTGCTGCACTGCTTTTCTGAGTTAGGGGAAACAAAACCAAAACACACAGTAGGATTAAAAATGATACAACAGCATTCTACATAATTAGCAATGAAACTTCATCTACCAAGCAGCTACTCTGCCAAGCAAGGGCAAGAACTCAAGACTCTGAATTTCAAGGAATTGCAAGGGTTTTTTTCCTTCCCACTTGCTACCTAGACATTTGTCTAAAATACCTGTGAATTTCTGGGATGTCTGGGTTGTTTTTAAACAGGCTGGACGTCTTAATGGAAGGTTTGTTTTTCTTGCTTTCATTTTGTTTGTTAGTCAACTGCTTCTTAGGAAGAGGTTTTTGTGATGAGCTTCCCTCCTCCCTCCTGTCAGCCTCAGTGGCACCCTTCCTGAAGGTGTTTATGGATAATTTCCGTTTGCGTTTCACGGGTGGGTTTCCATGTGGTGACTGGAGTTTCCTTTTCAGAGCACCAGATTGCTTTAAAGTGAACAAACAAACCAGAGTCAGCAGCGACTGGGAGTTAACACACAAATACCAACCCACAGCAGAGCCTTATTTTTGGAGTCCCCCACTCCATGACTAAAGAAACCAAAGTTGGTTTCTGCAGCTCCACAACTCCTACTCCAACAGATCCACCACCGAGACTTCTGACACTGCAGAAATGCACAATCTGAAAGAGCAATCTGAAGCCCTATCTAGTGCTCATCCCTAAAGGATTTCATTCAACTTCTCCAGTGGCATGCTTTAAAAATGTCTCTCAAAAGCATTTTAAAGCCTCTGCAGACGAACAGAGGGCTGAGAGAGCATCGCCCGCAGCCCGTCAGAGGTGAGGCAGGGCAGCGCCGTCTGCCCGCAGCCCGCCCGCTGCCGGGGCTCGGAGGAGCCGGATCTGCCCGACCCCCGCCCGCGGAGCCATCTGCGAGCCCCGGTGCCCGACCAGCCCCGGGGAGCCAAAAGCTCCATTTAACAACTTGTCGGACGCTGCCTCCCCGCCCGGTCACGGTCCCGCAGGGTCTCGTGTTCCACATCCCGTGTCCCCTGTCCCGCAGGGTCCCGTGCTCCGTATCCCGTACAGTTCCGTATCCAGTACGGTTCCGTGTCCAGTACGGTTCCGTATCCCACTCCCCTCCTTTCCCCTCCCTTCCCCTCCGCTCGTACCCGGCCGAGGCCGCGCATCCCCATGCCCGCCGCCATGTCCCGCCCGCTGCTCCGCAGGCCCCCGGGGCCGCCTACCGCCCGGCCCGGCCCTTGAGGGCGGCGCGGCAGCGGGTACGGAGCCTTCCTCCGAGCCCGGAGCGCACCCGGCTGCCCGGCCCGCCCCGCGGCGCCGCGGGGGCTCCGTGAGGGCTCTCCCCAGCCCCGCAAGCCGCGCTCCCGGGCCCGCGGGGCGCACAGGCGGTGGCGGGGCAGCCCCGGCCGGGCCCGCCGGGGGCTTGCGGCGGCGGCGCGTGCGCGCGGCCCGTGAGGCGGCGGTAACATGGCGGCGGCGGGGCGGGAGGAGCCGCCGCTGGGGCTCGAGGTGGTCGCGGAGGAGGCGGCGGCGGCGGCGGCGAGCGCCGGGTTCCGGCTCACGGCGGTGCGGCGAGAGCCGGCGGTGCGGCTGCAGCACGGCGCCAGCGGGCTGGAGCCGCTGGCCTGGTCCGAGGACCACCGGGTGTCGGTGAGCACGGCCCGCAGCATCGCCGTGCTGGAGCAGCTCAGCGACGTGCACAGCGGCGGGCAGGACATGGTCATCCACCGCACCGCCGTGCCCGCGCCCGGCGCCGCCTGCACGCTCAAGGTGAGCGCCCGGCACGGCCTCGTCAATGTGTTTAAATGTCTAAAGGGGGAGGTGGCAAGAAAAGGGAGCCAGGGGAGGTTCAGGTTGGACATCAGGAGGAATTTCCTCACAGGAAGGGTGATCAGACTCGGGAATGGTTGGCCTAGGGAGGTGGTGGAGCTAACACCGCTCCTGGAGGTGTTCAAGGAACGACTGGACGTGGTGCTCAGGGCCCTGGGCTGGGTGACGAGGTGGGGACCGGTCACAGGCTGGACTCGATGATCTCAGAGGCTTTTCCAACTTCAGTGATTCTGTGGCTTTTCACGATGGTGCCAAGCAATAAGACAAAATAAACGGGCATAAACTGGGAGACACGAAGCTGCACCTGAACATGAGCTTTCCTGTGCGGAATCTAGAGAGAGTCTGGAGTCTCCCCTGCTGCGGTCCCTTCCAGCCTGACCCGTCCCGGGATTCTGATCCCCATCTTGGGGAGCTACCCCTGCCCAGAACTTGCTGCAGGGTCTCTCGTTTTAAAAGTATAAGGGAGAGAAAACCATATCCCAGTAATGTCCAGGGATTCTGAAGTTCTGCAGTTTTTCTGAGAATCACTTGATCTCCAGTGCAGTTATTTCAATACAGTTTTAAGCAGGAATCTTCCTTTGTTTTGCTACCTAAGCTGAAGGATTTTGCAGCAGGGATTTCTCTGACCTTAAGGGAACCTCTGACTTTATACAAATATGGCAGATGTGGGTGATTATCTTATTAAATAATACTTTTGTTTTTGAGAATCTGATTTTATCTTCCAAAACAATGCTGAAAATATGGAGTTGAAATATTGAGTATCTATATATTATGACATATCTTTAAAAGAACAGAAGTATAAAAACAGGCTCTTTGATTCAGCAGTCTGAAAAATTCAGTAGCTGAGAGTCAAAGGTATGCAGATTTAGAGCATTAATGAAGCTGAAGTCTTTAGGAGTGACATCAATTAATCAATGTAGTGTTTGTTGGTTGTGATTTGGGATGCTCTGTTTCAAGAGAGAATTAATTCCAGGAAAGTCTTCCTAAAAAAAACCAGCTGTACAGTTGTTCTAAAGGTTCTTCTGGTTCTCTTTTAGGTTGGCCCAAAGAAGGAGGTGGCTGAGTGTAAGGAGAAATTCGCCAGCTCAGTGGATCCCACCGTCAGCCAGATGTTTATGCTGGACCGAGTGTTCAATCCTGAGGGGAAGTCCTTGACACCTATGCGGGGGTTCAAATATTCCAGCTGGTCCCCTCTGGGCTGTGATGCCAACGGGAGGTGCCTGCTGGCAGCCCTCACCATGGACAACCGCTTGACCATCCATGCCAACCTCAGCCGGCTGCAGTGGGTGCAGCTGGTGGACCTGACCGAGCTCTACGGTGAGCGGCTGTTTGAGGCCAGCTACAGACTGTGTAAGGCTGACACTCCCTGCGGGGAGCTGGGAGACTTCCCGGAATTCCAGCGGCGGCACAGCATGCAGGCCCCGGTGCGCATGGAGTGGTCGGGCATCTGCACCACCCAGCAGGTCAAGCACAACAACGAGTGCCGGGATGTGGGCAGTGTGCTCCTGGCGGTACTTTTCGAAAATGGCAACATCGCCGTGTGGCAGTTCCAGCTGCCCTTTCTGGGGAAGGAGTCCATCACTTCTTGCAATACCATTGAGTCGGGAATAAGCTCCCCCAGCGTGTTGTCATGGTGGGAGTACGAGCACAACAACCGGAAGATGAGCGGGTTGATCGTGGGGAGCGCGTACGGCCCGGTGAAGATCATCCCTGTCAACCTCAAAGCAGTCAAAGGCTACTTCACGCTGAGACAGCCCGTGGTCTTGTGGCAGGAGATGGACCAGCTGCCCGTGCACAGCATCAAATGCATCCCTCTCTACCACCCCTACCAGAAATGCAGCTGCAGCCTGGTGGTGGCTGCGAGAGGCCCTTACGTGTTCTGGTGCCTCCTGCTGATATCCAAAGCAGGGCTGAACGTCCACAATTCCCACGTGACAGGGCTCCACTCCTTGCCCATTGTCTCCATGACTGCAGACAAGCAGAACGGCACGGTGTACACCTGCTCCAGCGATGGCAAGGTCAGGCAGCTCATCCCCATATTTACAGACGTTGCTTTAAAGTTTGAACACCAGCTGATAAAGCTCTCGGAGGTGTTTGGCTGTGTCAGGACTCATGGAATTGCTGTCAGCCCATGTGGGGCATACCTGGCGGTCATCACCACTGAGGGCATGGCCAACGGGCTGCACCCGATCAACAAAAACTACCAAGTTCAGTTTGTCACCCTCAAGACTTTTGAGGAGGCAGCTGCACAGCTCTTGGAATCTTCTGTTCAGAACCTTTTCCGGCAAGTGGACTTGACAGATCTTGTACGCTGGAAAATCTTGAAGGATAAGCATATTCCTCAGTTTTTACAGGAAGCACTGGATAAAAAGATAGAGAGCTGTGGTTCCACTTACTTCTGGAGGTTTAAGTTGTTTCTCTTGAGGATTTTGTACCAGTCAATGCAGAAAGCGCCCTCAGAAGTTACATGGAGACCTTCACACGAGGATGCCAAAATCTTGATATCAGATTCCCCTGGGATGGGCAGCACTGAAGATGATCAAGATGAAGGAACTTCAAAACAAGCCAGCAAGCAGAGCCTGGGGGACACAGGCAAAGGTGTGGACATTGATGACAATGCAGAGGATTCTCTCCATCAGTCAAGTGACACTGGAGGCCGTGAGCCAATGGTAGAAAAGCTTCTTGAAATACAGGCACAGATTGAGGCCGTAGAAATGCACTTGACACGGGAACACATGAAACGGGTGTTGGGAGAAGTTTACCTGCACACGTGGATTACAGAGAACACCAGCATTCCCACCAGAGGAGTCTGTGACTTCTTAATGTCCAACGATGGTTACGATGACAGAACAGCACGAGTAAGTGGCGCCTCTTCTAGGGGGATTCTGTGTCACTGTCACTTCCTTCTCCCCCGTCCTGGAAGTACAGCTGGGCTGGGAAAGAGAGCTGTGGTCATGTCATCCTTGCCAGTCAGATCCTGTAGAGCATTCACCTTAAAATGTCCTTCCTTGATACTGTGAAATAGGAGGGAATGTGAATACATATGTTGAAATTTGGATCAGGTACAATAAAGAATAATGATGCCCAAGTTTTTGCAGAACGGGAGAGGACTGGGGTTACTGTGCTGCTGTCAGTGGGTTTAGAACATGAACTAACTGAGGGATGTTTGTTTTCATTACTAAGTTTATTTAATCCATCATCTTTATACAACTCAACTTCAGATATATTTCCTCTAGTCAATCACTATGGTTCTAATGTTAAGAACTAGAGAAGTCTCTCTTCTGAAATTATTTTTCAGGTGGTCCATCAGGTGTTGTAATTATTCCCTGAGCCTTCAGTGCAAAGATCAGTTTCTGAGTTTTATGTGTTTTATGAGTTAAACCCAGGGATTCAGAACTTCATGCAGGACATTGAATTAACCAAGCTAACTGAATGCCTTCGTTACAACACACATGGTCAGGACTTTCAATCACACTGGCACTTACTGTGCTACAATTAATGAGTGTAACTGAATGCTTGGTCATGATAGGAACGGTTCCCAAACTTGGAATGTCCCTACCAATGTCAAAGCCTAATGGCAAGGACAGAATCCTGACTGTTGTAAGGTGCAGAGGAAGCACTTGTGGCAGGAAGTCAGTGGCCAGTGAAGACTGCACAGTGCCCTGAAGTTCTCTGAATACAGAGGGGACACAGCTGTGGTGGGAGCACTTTGCATCAGCCTCCCAGCTCTTAAAACTCAATGACAGGAATGGTTCAGGTGTCTCTGCACCTGTTTATATGAGCAGAGAACAGTTCTTTTCATACACAAATCCTCAAATCACCTAAACTCTAGAAATCCACCTTTATATTGCATCCAGAATGACAGAGGAAGGGAGCACATGTCCATCAGTGGTGTAGTGTGGTGTTCTCCCTGCTGGTGTCACAGCCAAGTATGGCCATCAGTAACTCACTAGGAAAGTGCTCTGGCACAACTGCTGGGTTGTTCTGGCATCCAATTACTATGAATTGAAGGTTTGAGAGATTGCTTTTCTTATCTTAGAAGAATCTTGTTTCCTTTTCATAGTGATGAAAAGCGACTTCTAAATTGTATTTTATCTATTCAGTTTGCTGTCACACTTTAAAGATCCCTGGGATGTGGTTTATATCAATTGAAATGTCACAGACAAATTTGATCACATAAATGTTCTGCTATAAGCACTGTACTCCCAGATGACTGCTTGAAGATGGCCAGGTAATTTCTGAACAGGATTTTTTTTTAGCACATCTACTGTGATAGGCATGAGGGAAAGCATTGCTGTTATGGTCAGTGGTATGATATCAGTTCTTTCAGTACTTTTAAAATTTGCAAGGAATTACTGTTTTTAAGGTGTGTTT